CACGCGTTCAAGGGATTTGTGATTATTTTGATGCAAAAGGCATTACTTATAGCCACAATGACGTTCTTCGCTTTGCCGGATCATAGATGCAGAGGGCAAAATGACTGCACTGCAGACTGAATGGGCTCCTTTTTTTTGTGGTGGTGGGGAATAAATTGCGGTCCAGACTATTTTCCCGACTCTAGTTTGCCCGACCCGTGCCACCCACCGAGGCGCCATCTGGTCGGCAACTCGGCTAACCACAAATCTGTGATTGGCCGTTTCTCCTGCTCTTGATCGGCGTCGCGCTCCTGTCTCCTGCCAGAGCCACCAAAAAAGCTACACGAGGCACTGCGCTCCAAGATCAGGCCAATCCCCCAGCGTCAAGTGTCACAATGGCGTCCCAAATGGCTTGGAGAAGATTAGCCGCCCAGTCAGTCCTGCGGGCACCGCTGAGGAGCCCGATACAGACGAGAGCCTTCTCTGCAACACGCTCGGCAGGTATAGCTCCCCTGGAGCCCCTCGCGAGGCTGGCACCTGGCTAACCCGGACGCGCGCACAGCTCGCATTCTCGGTACGGGCCCTCTGCGGGCAAAGGAGGCTTCCAAGCACGTCGGCAGCAAATACCCCGTCATTGTACGTCACCTCTCCTCCAAAGAGCCGGGAGAAGGCGTCGTCTAACGAGAGCCATCTCTCCAGGACCACGAGTACGATGCGATCGTCGTCGGAGCCGGCGGTGCCGGTCTGCGAGCTGCCTTCGGTCTGGCCGAGGCGGGCTTCAACACGGCCTGTATATCGAAGCTCTTCCCGACCCGATCCCATACGGTAGCTGCGCAGGGCGGCATCAACGCTGCGCTGGGCAACATGCACAAGGACGACTGGAGGTGGCACATGTACGACACGGTCAAGGGCTCCGACTGGCTCGGAGACCAGGACGCCATTCACTACATGACGCGCGAGGCACCTGCCTCTATCATCGAGCTCGAGAACTACGGCTGCCCCTTCTCGCGTACCGAGGACGGCAAGATGTAAGTTGGTCTCCAAGCTGTCCCTCCCGGTGTTGGAGAGGCCATTCCACCTCCCGCGCTGCTGCGCTGCCATGGTGCTGACCTTCACACAGCTACCAGCGTGCCTTTGGTGGCCAGTCGCAGGAGTACGGCAAGGGCGGGCAGGCGTACCGCTGCTGTGCTGCTGCTGACCGGACGGGCCATGCACTGCTGCACACTCTCTACGGCCAGTCGCTTCGCCACAACACCAACTACTTCATCGAGTACTTCGCCATGGACCTGCTGATGGAGGACGGCGAGTGCCGCGGTGTGATTGCCTACAACCAGGAGGACGGCACGCTGCACCGCTTCTTCGCGAAGAACACGGTCCTGGCCACGGGCGGATACGGTCGCGCCTACTTCAGCTGCACGTCGGCGCACACTTGCACTGGCGACGGCATGGCCATGGTCGCCCGCGCGGGTCTGCCCAACCAGGATCTCGAGTTTGTTCAGTTCCACCCGACGGGTATCTACGGCGCCGGCTGCCTCATCACCGAGGGTTCGCGTGGTGAGGGTGGCTACCTGCTCAACTCGGAGGGTGAGCGTTTCATGGAACGTTACGCCCCTACCGCCAAGGACCTAGCGTCCCGCGACGTCGTGTCGCGGTCCATGACCATGGAGATTCGCGAGGGCCGCGGTGTCGGCCCTGAAAAGGACCACATCTACCTGCAGCTGAGCCACCTGCCTGCCGAAGTCCTGGCCGAGCGCCTGCCCGGAATCTCGGAGACTGCCGCCATCTTCTCGGGTGTCGATGTGACCAAGCAGCCCATCCCCGTTCTGCCGACGGTGCACTACAACATGGGCGGCATCCCGACTCGCTACACGGGAGAGGTCATCACCGTGGACGAGAAGGGCAAGGACAAGGTTGTTCCTGGCCTGTTTGCCTGTGGCGAGGCCGCCTGCGTGTCTGTGCACGGCGCCAACCGCCTGGGTGCCAACTCGCTCCTGGACCTGGTCGTCTTCGGCCGTGCCGTGTCGCACACCATTCGCGACAACTTCGCGCCCGGAGCCAAGCACAAGCCCCTCTCGGCCGACATTGGCGCCGACTCGATCGAGGTGATGGACAAGGTCCGCAACTCGGACGGCCCCAAGAGCACCGCCGAGATCAGGCTAGCGATGCAGAAGGCCATGCAGACCGACGTCAGCGTGTTCCGCACCCAGGAGTCTCTGGACCAGGGTGTGCGCAAGGTGAACGAGGTCGACCAGACCTTTAGCCAGGTCGGCATCAAGGACCGGACCATGATCTGGAACTCGGACCTGGTCGAGACTCTGGAGCTGAGGAACCTTTTGACTTGCGCGTATGTGTTTCACCCAGACTCCTCACCCATTTCCTTTTCCTCATAGACATGATTGTGAACAAGCTAACACTGTGTTTTCCTTCGATAAACAGCACCCAAACCGCCACCTCGGCGGCGGCCAGGAAGGAGTCCCGCGGTGCGCACGCGCGCGAGGACTTCCCGGACCGTGACGACAACAAATGGATGAAGCACACTCTCAGCTACCAGAAGAAACCCCACGGCAAGGTTGAGCTGTCATACCGTGGCGTCATTGGTCACACACTCGACGAGAGCGAGTGCAAGGCTGTGCCTCCGTTCAAGCGCGTATACTAAAAACTGGGGCCGGGGTTCAAGTTGGGATGGTAGACAGGCATTTGCTACTAATTAAAAACAGGGACCATATGTTACCATCTGTTCTTAACACTTTCTTTTTTTTGTGTGTGAATCGCCCTGCACTCATGAAGTGTGCACTTTATCTTTGTGTCGGGTGTTTTTCGGGGTGCAGAGTCAAGGGATATTTTGGTGCATCAGGGGAAATCAAAGCGAGTGGCTTTGAGTTGTACAGGGAAACCCAAAGAATAAAAAATAATAAAAATAAAGTGATAACCACGTTTTTAATAATCTCAGCCATTCCCGCCGGGGTTACCAACCAACTAATCCCACCCACCACTCAAAAGGCCATCTCCTTCTTGATCTCGGCGATGGCGCGGCCCGGGTTCAGGCCCTTGGGGCAGGTCCGGGTGCAGTTCAGGATGGTGTGGCAGCGGTACAGGCTCATCGAGTTGTCGAGGGCGGCGCGGCGCTGGGCGGTGCGCTCGTCGCGCGAGTCGGCCAGCCACCTGTACGACTGCAGCAGGATGGCGGGGCCGAGGTACTCCTCCGAGTTCCACCAGTACGACGGGCACGACGTCGAGCAGCAGGCGCACAGGATGCACTCGTACAGCCCGTCCAGCTTTTTCCTGTCCTCCTTGCTCTGGCGGTACTCCTTGCCCTGTAGAGGAGAAAAAGAAGGGATGCTGCGTTAGCTTCTCTGCGGAACACGCGTCTCTCGGGCCCTGGTTCAAACTTACATCTGGCGAAGGCGTGTCCCGCTGCAGGTACGGCTTGATGGACCTGTACTGCTTGTAGAAGTGCGTGAGGTCGGGCACGAGGTCCTTGACCACGTACGTGTGTGGTAGTGGGTAGATCTTGACCTCGGCCGAGTCCTCAGTGGGGATGCGGCCTGCAGATGCGTGTGCGCTTCAGGTTAGAGCGTCGCTCAGCTCCTCCAGCCAGCCAGCCAGCCAGCCAGCCAAACAACCAAGGGGAGTCCCCAGGCGCGCGCCGCGGCGTCTCGGGGCAGATGGGAGCCTTTTGTCCCGTCCCTCCCTTCCCTTCCGGCCGCCCAGCAAAGATACCCTCCTTCCCCTCCCATCCCCCTCAAGAATCGCGCGGGAAGCACTCACACAAGCATGCCAGCGTGTTGGTGCCGTTGATGTTCATGGCGCAGCTGCCGCAGATGCCCTCCCTGCAGCTGCGGCGAAACGTCAGGGTGGGGTCGAGCTCGTTCTTGATGCGCACGAGGGCGTCGAGCACCATGGGCCCCGTCTTGTTGAGGTCGAGGCTGTACGTCTGCATGTGCGGCTTCTCCGTAGGCTTGCTGGGGTCCCAGCGGTAGATCCGGAACGACTTGAGCCGGGCGTCCTGCGAGGGGGCCGGCTCTGACGACGACGACGACGACGACGACGACACCGAGGCCATGGCGCGCACGCACACGGGCTTGAGGGCGCTCAGGACGGGGCGGCGCGTCGATGCGGCTGCTGCCCCGAGTAGCCGGGAGGAGGCGGAGCGGAGGGACGCCATCGTGGGCGGGTGCGCGGGCGGGCGGGTGCGCGTGGTCTAGGTTGGTGCTCGTCCTAACGGAAAGAAAGGGGGGGTAAACACAGGAAAGGCAGACAAAAAGAAAGGAAGAAAAACGGATCAATTGCCGAAACCAGTTGCTCAACAGAGAGCCGCGGCGGCAGGCGAACCCGAGAGTGGCAAGGCTGGCAAGGGGGATGGATGGCCGATCAATCAAAAGACTGCCTCACACGGCGCTGTGCGGGTTCGTTCATAGGTGTTGGGTGTTGTCGCCGTTGTGACTTTTGCCCTTCGGGACACCTCGGTTATCGACTCGCCCCCCAGCTCCGGCTGCTCGTGCGGGTCTAATTGGAGCCGGATAGTAGGGCCAGCCAATGGGAGCCGACGTGTTTTCAAGCAGCTAGCTAGGCTAGCACGTGACAGACATTACCGCCACAATTGACGCGGCGACCCCGCTTGGACTAGTCCGCACCTTGCAAACCGATGATTAGAGTCTGCATTGGGCTCTGGTGTAGGTTCCCTATTTCCTACTCTATTTCCGTAAAAGCCTATGGAAATATCCCTTCTTTTAAAAACTTAGAACCCCGTCCCCGCGCCCTCAATGTCCCCTTCAACCCTGGAGCGTGCTAGAGCGTTCAGTGCCCATGTCAAACATGACATGATACCCAAAAAGGAGGTGGTTGCCCAGCCCCTGAAATCCCAGTGTAAGCCATCACAGACGCTTTTTGCCAAGTAGCCCATGCACACCTTTTGCAAATATCAATAATTGAGAAGCCTCATGGTATCCCACCAAACACAACCTCGTGATTCCCTCACACCCAAAGGAAGAAGAAGAAGAAGAAAACTGTTAGAATACAACAAAGAAGGGTCATGTGTGAAGCCCGCCAGCTCATTCGGCTAGCACTATCCTCAGCATCGAGAGGAAGTTTTCCCTCAGCTTGTGCACCTCGGCGATGTCTGGCTTCTCAGGCTCGCCGGCGCGGCGCCTGAGGCGGTCTCGTTGCTTCGCCCGACGCCGCCTCTCGGCCTCGATGGGATCCAGGTCATCCTGGATCTCAGCCTCCTCCTCGTCGTCCGAGCCCGATTCGTCCTCGTAGGCCATGTCCTGGAGGTCCATCTGGTCGAGCCCAAAGTCGCTGGACTTGAACCCGACGGGCACGCCGTCGACGCCGGGTGCGCCGCCGCCCTCGGCCGCCATCTTCTGCCTCGTCTTGTCCTGGTGCCACTTTTTCCGCGCCTCCTGCCACCCGATCAGCTGATCGATCTCGGCGATTGCCTTCTCCTTGTCCACGACGTTCATGCTGATGCCACCCTCGAACAACGCGTTGACGTCGAGAGTGCCATTCTTGGGCCCGTGTCGCAGGAACTCGAGGATTCCCTCGATCCAGCCCATGAGCTGGGTGAATAGCCCGTTATCGTGCGTGTGCACCTCGTGAACGAACTTGTAGAAGTTGTGCTCGTGGCGCTGGCACAAGTCAATGAAGGCCTGGACGGTCTGGTTAGGGTCCGCTGAAGCGTCCTGCTCACGGCACTGCTCCACAACCTAAAGCAAGTAATGGGAATTAGAACCAGCCGGCTTCCTCGGGGAAATGGGGAATATGGGAGATGGATTACCTGGATAGTGTCATCGATGAAGACAGCAAAGTCGGTGATGCTATTGTAAACGTTGGCAGACTTATAGACCCGCACAAGCGGCTCGTAGAATATGGTGAAAAGATCCCTGAAGAGCTGGAGCGTCACGGGCTCCTCGATCAGGTGCAGCATCATCTCCTTGTCCCGCTGCCTCAGCTGGAGCTTCAGGAGCTGCTTTAGGTACGAGAAGAGCTGTGCGCCCTGCTTGAGCTCATCGTCCACATTCTCAACGGCGCTATTGAACGCGACGTATGCGTTGTAAAGCCGCCCGATTTGGTCGGCCGTCAAGCTCGGTTCGAGGAACTCGGAACGGAGAATCGCGACGACTATGTCGACATCATCGGCCGCCGCCTCCTCCCGGATGGCCACCTTGACATACTCTTCCGCCTCGGAGAACTTCTTGATCTTTTCGGCGAAGACCGCGTCGCCAACCTTCTCAGCCAGTTGATCTATCGCCCGCTGGAAGTTGCGAATTCCGTCGTTCAGGGTCATTGTAAAGATGCGCTGCAGGAGAGACCGCGCCCCAAACGGCTGTGCTAGGAAGATGTCCAGGATGCCCGACATGACAGCGGCAGGGTTCGCGATGCGGATGGCGTTCTTCATGAGCGTATACGGCATGAGGGAGTGGACCCGCTTGGCCTGGGCAAACAGCTCGGGGGAGTTGTCCTCGGCCAGGAAGAGGTGGTAGATGGTAGCTGCAACCTCGATGCGAAGCCACTCGGCGAATTTTTGATACTGGATGCTGAGGTCCTGGATCGTCTCCTTCTCTTTGATCTCCTGAAACAGCATGGTCAGGCCATTCCGCTCGACAATATCCTGACGGAACCTGTAGCGCGCCCAAGTCAGTAATCGTGCACGCTATGAACCAGTAGGTAGCCCAGGCCCGCGATTAGTATCTCCAAGCTTGAAACTTACTGCTCCATGTAGACATCCAGGTCTGCGGCGCGCTTGCGCGCTATCTCGTAGAACTTCTTCTGTTCCACCACACGCTTCTCGTCCACCTCCTTACGCCGCATGATGTCCACGACATCCTCATCCTTGGGCGTGATGGGGTCGTGCGTCAAGAAATCCTGCATGGCCTTGGTTGTGGCCAGCTGGGGGTTATGTAGCAGCGATCGCAAAAATGCCCGGAGAGACACGCGCTGGTTCTCTCGGAACAACAGCACATTTCCCTGTTTTAAAGGTTAGTATCTTGCTTGACTATGGCCTAACTACCCAAGAGTATCGCGTAGAGTTTAAGAGCACTTACATCCGGCTTCATCCCGGGGCTGTTACGGCCATCCGTGGAACGGCCGTCCATCGATGGCCGCGGGGAGGCTCTGCTAGATCCAGATCCTGTCCTACGGTGGTCTGTCCAGATAGGTTTTATTAGCACCACATTATACCCGCCGAGGGGTTCGGGTGACGTTGGCATTCTCATTGTACCTTTGATACGGTTGACAGACAATGTCTTGACCCCATCGTAGCTAGCATTGCCCGTTAATTGTGTAGACACGGACGAGACTGATGACCGGTCATCGTCGTCCTTGGACAGGAGGCCACCAAGGAATGCGGACGAGTTGCTCTTGTTCTTCCTGGGGATGGGCGGCAAGACTTTGCCGGGGAGCTCTGTGCGGATATCATTGCGGAGCTTGACGAAGTCGCCATAGCGTCTAGCAACAAAGTACTCCAGCTCCCCTTTCCTTTTTATCCTGAGGATGAATTCCTAGCCATATCATGTCAGCGCCTCCTGCCCCTGACTTCTTCAACATACCAGGGAGTGGACAGTGCGAGGGACATGTGCAAGGAATCAAAGGGGCTGCTTACCGAGTGCTTGTGATGCCTGATGTTCCTCTTCACAGACGTGATGCGCACCGCACAGATGTTGGCGTCCCAGCCGTTCAGGTAGTTACCCTCGGGCATGGACGCCAGCACACCGGTGTCGATGGCATCTCTGTCCACGATCTCGAGCTCTGAGAATCTTATTCTCTCCTCGAAACCCGAAGAAGTTCGGACGCCCGACACTATCATCAGCTCCACGAGCTTCTGCGCTTTGAGCGCGAGCTTGCGGCGCTTCGTCTCCTCCAGGCGGTCTTCCGAGGAGGATATACCCTTGCTCGCAAAGGATTCGAGGAACTACAGGAGCGAGAGGCAAAATGGTGGGGGGTCAGCAGGGCGCGCGGACGCGGAGAGAGGGGCAGCGTGCAGACGGGGCACGCACCACTTGCAGCTTATCCTGCCAAAACTCCTTCTCCCTGGCCTTGTCGAGGAACGGGAACTCGCGGACATGGTGAACAAAGATGTAGCGCAATATGGGGAGCTCCGAGTCGAGAGGGGAGACCTCGCCGAATTCTGACTTGAAGGGGGCGCCAAAGCGGCGCAACGCGGTTGGGGAGTTGAGCTCTGCGATCTCGCGCTTGACCTGCTCCGAGACCAGTTCGCGCTTAAGGTCTAGTATGGTTGTCGGTCGATCAGTAAAAGTGCCCGGCAATTTCGGGTAAACAGGAGACCGCGAGGGCTGTAACGGGGCGGGGGGGCGTCGTGGAACCTACAGTGTTCCTGCTTCCCGGTAAGGGTCTGGCCTGGCGGCGGGATGGTTTTGCTGCTGGCGGTGCGGATGGGAAGCCCCTTGGTCGAGTCTTGCGCCGGAGCCACGCCGTTCTCGATGCGTGGAGCGCCGTTCTGGGGCTCGACCGAAGGCGCCATGGCGAAGAGTGCCGCGGGGGGGGGAGGAGGAGGGGTAGGTAGGATAGGTAAATGCGCGCCCGATGGCCGTCTCTGAGGCCCCGTCAGTGAGCGCAGCGACGCAGCAAGAACGCAGGCAGTTGGCGATTCGGACAGGTGCCGTGGCGGGGCAGGGAATCGCAGTTAAGGTGCGGTTGGATAGGTACAGCGGAGACGGGGGTCGAGGGTTGCGGTCTGGGCGGGCGGGCGAGGCCCCGTTTTGACCAAGTTCAGGTATGAGGTCAGAGGTCCTGGCGTTGTCACTCAAAGTCCCGGTGCTCACAGCTCGAGGACCGCCAACCAGGTAAGCGTGGCAAGCGTTATGGGACACAACAAGGATGAAGTATATTGGGACAATCCGAAGCAATGGCGAGATGCAGAGATTATATCAGCCCGAGCAGTCGATCAAACTTTTGGCTTTGTCGGCGTGGGCCGGGACCCGGCTCGCATAGACAGAGTGAGGCAGCAGGCGCAGGTGCGCAGGGCCGCGCTGCAGGGGAGGGTCGAAAAGAGAGTAGGATTGGCAAACTGCCGCAAGAGAACAAGGATCAGGGACGCGACGGAGGAGGCGTGGGTTGCTATAAACAGAAGACTAGCCGCAGTGAAGTAGAACAGAAACACAGAAACAAAAAAGTAAATGCAAAGGTACCAAAAAGCGCACCCGATTGTTTCCTGCCTGGACCCCGTGTCAGTCAGTGTCTATCATCTGGTCTAAATGGATGTATTTCCCAGCCCACCACTTAACAGCCTTTTTCCTCTGATTTTCTTGCTTCCTTTTTTCTAAGCCTCCAGATTCATCACTCAGCGCAAGCGTGAATGTGACCTGGCAGTTACAGGCATTTCCCCAATGACGCCTGCTTTTCTTTTTTCTTCGCGAGTTGGAGCATGACGTCCTTTGGCAGACAGCCCCTCCAGATTCCACAATTCCAGACCGTGGTCCCAGCCATGTGCACCGTAAAACCGAGTCCGTAGCGGAGAGGGGCGGCCACGGCTCGCTGTGACTGGCCAGTGCCGCTTGCGTGGCCGCCCCGCCGAGAGCGCAGGGAGATGGGCTGCTCCATTGGCGCGTCCTTGGCGATTACGAATCCGGCCTCTAGCGCAACTTCTGGGACTTGCTGCATCAGCTGCTAGCTGGCACGCTGGGCTGCCCCAACCTAACGGACCCTCTCCTCGTAACCCATGTAAGCCTGCCGCCGTCAACATTTGAGGTGGAGAGCGCCTGCTCATCACGTCGGCGCAGTTACATTGCATTTATTCTCCTCCGCGTTTCCCTGCCCGGGAAGAGCTGCAAGCCAGGCCCCCTCCGGCACGGAGCTGCCGGGCGAGGCGGCACTTCGACCTGCGATGCCGCCAGGGGGGGAGCTACCCCTAGCAATTTCCATGCCTTGCACAACCGGAAGAGAGGCATCAGTCGCTTCACGCTAGCTAAGCGCCCACCCGGCTGAGGTGAGAGCTCAGCCTTCGTCTAAACACAAATCACAGCGGAAGATAGGCTGCAGTGGATCCGCAGGTTGAGTGCGGTGGATGTGGTGGATGCGATGGATGCGCCAACTCGGTCTTGATGACAAGCAACCTGCTACCGACGCAGCCACCTACCTAACCTCTTCAGCCCTGCCTAGGCCGACGTCCTCACTTCCCAGCAGCTATGACAAGATGCGCAGGCCGAGTAAGCACAAGCCACCATCAGCGGTAGCTTCAACTGGCGCACCTAACTCCCTGTCTCTGGTCAGCATTGAAAACACTTGATACAGGACATTATTCTGCTACAGTGAATACCTACTACGTAGGCCGGCGGGAAGATGGTTCATATTCAGACCTAGTAGTTGGTGACAAGGAGAAACGGCGTCAATCCACATTGGCAGATCAAACTCCAGAACGTGAGAACGAGTCTGTACCCGTTCCCAGCATCTTCACACCCGCTTGGAATTCCGTCGCAACAGATAAACATTGGGGTATCGTATTTGCCAGTATAAGCCGGCAGGCAACACAGAACGCAATGCGGTCCAGAAGGAACAAGATCGCCAATCAAAACTAACCAGGCGACAGCGGCTCGTCTATAGCTCGTCAAACACACGCAGCTGTTTGTCCGCATCCACACGTGAATCCCTCCCGTTTTGGTTGAGCGATTTGAACAACCTCGCGGCGGGTGCTGAGTCCTCACCGTGCTCCCCGGCCTCGGCAGGCCCCCCGCCTTCGGCTCCCCTCGGCGCCGGGATGTGCCCGCTCACGACGGCAGACCGCACCCAGTCTGATGGCTCCGTTGCCGACGCCACGGGCTCGCCCTTGCCAACCATGTGTGGCTGCTGCCGCGGCACGTCGTGTCCGGCAACGACAAGCAGGAACACCAACAGGACGAGAACGAGCACTGACGTGACGACCCAGATCGTCTTGAGGCGCCGGCGCGTGCGCTCCTGCCACTCGCGGTCGGCGCGCTCCCACCCTTCGATCCGGTCGTGCACCGCGTCGACGCGCCCGCTGAGCTGCTGGATGCGCTCGCGGCCGTCGTGGATGCGGCTCTGGAGCGACTCTATCCGTCTTCGCTGCGAGTCAAAGGTGCCCAGCCCGTCGATCTGGCCGCTGACGTCGGCCACCAGCTCGTCTGTCTCGCGCGAGAACCCGTCCGCGGCATCCCGCCAGGCGTCCCGCAGCTCTTCCAGCGCCGCCGCCGTGCTGCTCAGCGTCCCTAGCTTGTCCATCACCGATGTGTAGGCATCGTCGAGCCGCCGAGCCGTCGATGTCGATGTCGTGTTTAAGTCCGCCACTGCAGTCTGAAGGCCTCTGATATGTAATCAGCAGAGCGTAAGCACGTGTATGCGATGCTGGCTAGTAATAGGGGAAACGCGTACTGCGCAGTGGAGGGCGATGGGGGCTAATAAACCTACGCAGCTATTGCTTGTGCTTTTTCCCTGGCAATGACCAAGTCCTCGTCCTTGCCTGGTCTTCGCTCAAGGGCAGCAGAAGGTACCGGCGGAGGTGGCCGCGAGGGCGCATCGTCGGAACCGGAGGCGGCCAGGATGCTCGGTCGGCGGCTAGGAATCGGGGTTATGTTCGGTGTGACACCTTCGGAGCGCGAGATTGCCACGTCGACCGAGGGTCGGGGCGGTGGGAGGCTCGGCGCGGCGCTGTTGTCGTCGCGTTTGCTGATGCTGGCCTGTTGGCGGTGGGCGTGGTGGTGTGAGTGGTGGTGCGACGAGTGGTGATGGTGGTGGAAGCGGGTGGGCGACGACAGGTCCGATATGGACCTATTAATCTGATGTTTGGGGCGGTGAGGCGACGCGGCACCGTGGCTCGAGGCCGTGTCAGGGACGATCCCATTTCCAAGCATGGCCAGTTTCCGGCCCAAGGCCGACGGCGGTAGCGATCAGAAGGGAGAAAAAGGGGATGGCCGAAAGGGTACCGAGGGGCCAGAACGAAACGAAACAAAACAAAACAAGATCCAACGGCAACGATTCGTGTTTCCCGCCGGCTTCTGACAGGGACCCTGCGCTAATGTGCATGTGCGTTGCAGCAGTCGTGCTCTCGCAGCAGTCCCGTTTTGTTCGCAGTGCAAAGTTTGAGGCGATCCAGAGCACAGGGTGCGTCCCGAGCTGTGACGTTGTTTGTCGGGGCCACCCGCCAGCCCAGCTGCCACATGACACCGTGCCCCTCGACCACCTGCCAAGCCCGGCCCGACAGGCACCCAGACACCTTGTCTTCACATGCTTCCACGCTTCCAGGCAGGCCACGTCAATTAGATTAACTTGCACATGAAGATCAAATCTGCATGCTCCTGCGTGTATGCATAATCCCATCTCAACGAGCCGGCCGGCACGCCATGATACACCGTCTAGGATATTTAGTACCTATATGAGCAAAGCATCAACCACTGCCAACCTATTCCGGGTCATGTTGTTTCAAGTGCCGCACTCGGCAACGGGATGGCTTTCATCATTGGACGCACGGCGACAAATGTCCATATAACTTTGGTACACGTTCGAATTCGTGTGGATTGAGGACTATCAGGGGATGCAATGCACCGATATGAACCGACCATCGTCGGCCAGCACCAGGCAAGACAGAGTTCATCGTCGTTGCAACGCAGGATGCATCAGGAGGGCGATCTACGTCAGACGTGAACACGCGACCAAGCACTGCTAGCCCTTTGTTTGTGTGGGAGGCTCCTTGAACCCAGCGTCGCCGGGGCTTGTCCAGATACGGCGACACTGTTGGCGTGAGACTCCTAGATCCGGCTAGACCTCATCCAGACCCTAATTCCGTGACCGAGTTCGGCCTTGGAATAGGCTGATTAGAGGCAAGCTCCGCCTCGATACTGTGAGAGCCTCTGCCTGTGACACTCCCGCAATCCCTTGTGAGGCATTCTTAGCGGGAGGGACTAGAGACAAAGGGGGCGCGATAGGGCCTAGCGACAGCATGGCGGGTTCCCTCGGGTCATTTTGCCATTCGTGAATGTCGCCGGTCTTGAAGGCCTAGTTGTGGCCTCTCTCTCTCTCACAGGGCCCTCGTGGCGTACGGCTCCGGGAAGCGGGAGAGGTCGCCGAGGCGCGGAGACCGGATATGTGCCTCTCACGAATTGAGCACCTTGTTGCGCTTCTCCCTCCTCTTTAGCCTCTCAACCCTCTTCTTGTGCATCTTCTCGGCCATCTTCTCATATCTCTCCTTCTCCTCCTTTGCAGCCTTCCTGTCCTTGATCGCCTGGACACGTTGCTGTTATCCACCGTGCGTGGTTAGCAGCGGCACATACGCCCACGACCGGGTTACGTGATGGTCTTCTGTGCCGACCGCGATTGCCCCTTACCTGTCTCTCCGCCTCCTTCTCGTCCTTCATCTCCTTCTCCTTCGCCTTGACTGCCGCCATGGTAACGCGATCCTTTGCGCGCTTCTCATACGACGTAAGGCCGGAGCCCGGCCGAAAGGCCTTCCGGGGCGCATGCCATTGCTTCCCTGTGATCAAGAGCAACCGTCTCAGACTCCATTCACTCGCGCGGCAATGCGTGGTTGGAACTGACCGTTTTTCCTCATGCCTAACGACTTGGGTGGGGGTTTCGTCATGGTGGCCTCAGCGCTCGACATGATGCTAGACGTCCTTCCTTTTTCAGGTGCTTCGTCAATTTAGGTCGCAGAATGGAATGCATCCATGAATGGCTGTTCGTTATGTCAAGGCAAGGCAGTGGGTGCGCGCGAGAAAAGAGATTGCGAATTTGCAACTGTCCGCATTCTAAAATGGGTACAAGGTGACGCGAACTTTTTTCTCTTGGCGTCCGGCAATTTGCCTCCTGCACGTTGGGGTCTGGGGCCTCCACTGACCGCCTTTTCCAGGATGCGCTGAGGAGGACCAACCCACATTATCGGGTCCTGATTCGCCAGGGCGTCATCCCGCAATGTCGAGTTTATGCCAGGCATATCCTGATTGCCCCCTCGAGACAATGGGCAATTTTGATTTGACCATCCATCGCAGAGCGCCCTGGATGTCGCCAAATTCCATCCCAGCTGAGCATCTAGCGCCGCGCCCGGTTCGCGGCTTCAAGGGATGCTATATTCCCCGAGTCTGTACCTGGTTGCCCCTGTTGGTCCCTGATTCGACGAACGGCCCGTTCATCAGGAGTCCGTCGATCTCTCCCGCCCACAGTCCTGCGCGTTTGACTGGCGGATATCAGAATCTCAATTGCGCGCCATTTACGGTCGGCGAGGCCCGCAAGTCGCCATCCAGGAACATCGCGAATAGGAAGGCCAGGCGCCGCCAAGCCATGCGAGCCCCCACGAGCAACAAAACAAGACGGAGGGGAACCAGAGCGTAATGGACCGAATGAACATGCATGAAACAGCCTTCTCTTGCGACTTTTGGATGCCGAACAGACCGATCCGTTCCGGCCGGCAAACACGCAATGTGCTGTCTTCCCTCGGTTATCTGTGCAAGATCCAATCTACGGCTAACACGGCAGCCAACCAAGAATGGGGGGCGTTGGGAAGAAGCACTGTCTGGGGAAACACTCAATCCCCTCGCTTGTGGGTGGGTGAAAAACGGCTGGGCGGACGCCTGTGAATCCCGCCTGGCGGAACAGCAATCTCGCATGACCTACAGAAGCTTATCTCGGCCCATTTCGCGCTTCTTCTCCTGCCCGCCCACGCGGGATCAAGGGTTGCTTGTGATTAAAAAGAGCCCCTTGCAGCAACAAATCAAATACTTGTGTGTCTCAATTCCTCTTGGGAATGTTGGTTATGGATGACACACACGCAGCTAACATCTGCCCTAATTGCTTGGTCGCGGCTGTGATAATCAGATATTTCTAGAAGCTTGCTAGCGGTGGCGTATTTGACCAGTCCAGCTGATCTTCTGATCGTCGGTTTGCAGTCCGTTGCGTGCTACTGCTCCGGCCACGCCGACTGCTGCTGCGAATAGAGCACACGCGGCACATACATACGTACAGACATACATTAGGCGTACCATCATACGGCCCATGGAGAGTGCCGGATGGCGTTGTCACCAGTTTTTCTCTCCGACCCGTCGACCGCATGCGGATCTGCCGCATGCCCTAGGATCAGTCTAGAACGGGGACAGAAGGCTCTGAAAGGCGCCGATGTTGAATGGCTTGCAGCCGGCAAGAGGCTATCCAGATCACTCCTATGCGAAGGGCGACTGGCGTCGAGCACGCCAGCCCCGTGCGTGCGGGTAACAACTATTGCCTAGTAGGGATCAGGGGTTCGTAGTTGCCGTGAAGGGGTGAATTCGTAGAAGTTGATTCGCTAACTGGTTGAACAGGCACAAAGGCCAAGGGCGCCATTGGATCCACCATGACCTTGTCCTGCAGGGCCTGGGAGGAGGCCACGGGGGGGGGGGGGGGGGGGGGGG